AGGCAGTATACAAGTATAGTAAATAAATAAATACATATTATTTATTTATTTACCACACTTTTATCCCACCCTTTTCAGCCCAAAGGTGAATCAGGGCGGTGTACAAACTGGCAACAATTAGATGCCAAACACACATAAAATACATCATTTAAAACAGGTGAAATCACATAATAAAATTCATATAAAACAATTTAAAACTATAACAATCAATGACTTCCAGGTTTAAATCCATGTCTATTTCCTGTGGCTTCATGGTTATGTAGGTGGAAAGCACTCACTTGTGTCTTGGATAGGTTAGGCTTCAGGTGGTTATCTTTGCAATAGCTGGAGAGGACTTTCAGGGCATTAGTAAGTCTGCACTGATTTTAAAAAATAACATACTTCTGTTACAGCCTTCTTGATCCTGACACATGCCACACAAGCTCTTTAGCAGCGAAAGCACTTCTTTTAGGCTTTAACATGATATAGCAAAAGTCACTCTGTGTTCCAATTTCCAGGAAATCCACTTTGTTGCTGTGTCTTGCTATATGTGTAGATTGGGATGGCTTCAAGGGGAAGTGTGACAGACATTGCTGACTGTAAACCACCGACATTAAAAAACATGTCTTATGCTACTTGCTAGTGTGCATGTTTTCTGACATTAAAGATTGCTTTGCTGTTCCTCTGGGATGTGGCGAGGGGAGAAAGGCAATGGAAAACCTCTTCCTCCAAAGTGATTATTCATTGCCTTCCCTTCTCCTTTATTTTTGTGCTGGAAAGAGACAACGGGAGGGAGTTCTCAGACTCTTCTTTTCTGTTCCTGCCTTCTCAGCCGAGCAGCTTCCTAGCAGAGCCCTGCTGGGGAAGTCTCAGAATAAAGTGCCCAGTCATGAGAACAATGGCTTGTTCTCCTGTCAAAGCAAGTGATCGGGAAGCTGTTTGGGTGGGAAGGCAGCAGCAAGCAATCACTTTGGAAGATAAGAAGAAATAAAAATAGTGTTGATTAGAATTCAAGTTGTGGAGAGCAATACAATTTGGGTGCAGTACATTACAGGTTAGGTGAATTTGGGATGAATCCAGGGGTTGAATCATCTTAATTTTATCTGGATTATTTTGGTGGTGTCAATAAGATCTTAGTTAACGAGAGCAAACAAATAAGCAAGAGCATCACCTTCCAGCTTTCCAGAACTACTATGTCCTGATATGCACATTCAGTGTTTTCAGTTCATGTGCAACTGTTGTAATGAGTTCTGCTGTGTTAGGTAGATTCCTTTGCCACATTCCAATTAGGATCTCTGCCTCATTCTCTCATATTGTGCAAGTCAGATCACACATTTCACAGCATTTGAAGAGGTTGTGCCAATTACAGGAACTGTACACACAGAAGCCTCTTAAATAGGAAGGAGGGTGGGGAGGGAAGCTTCTGTCGGAAGCAGGAAACCAAAAAGGAGTTTAGAATTAGCAAGGAAAAATGACAAAACATGTATTTCATTGTGTTGCTATATATATAAAAAAAAGCCTGGCTGGCACCATTAGGGTTGATAAGAGTTATACAATGTGATTTGGTAAATGAAATATACCCTTCAACATTTCACAGGAACACAATTGGCCAAGCAACACTGGAATGTGGTCAAACTAATTCGTGAAAAGAAGAAATAAGCTAGGAGAGGTGGCAACAGTTTGCTTTTGCTGAGCCTCTTGGGAAGGGCAAGATTGCCCCTCATCTCTTCTCCTCTCTGCTAAAGTAATAGAAAGTGAGCCACTGTTTCGCTTTTACTCAGTTTGCATTAGTGAAAGGAAGGCAGACAAGAGGGGAAAAGTGGGAGGATGGGGAGAATTAAAACTAGAACATTTCAAAAGCAGCTGAAAAACAGGATTAATTGGGACAATTCTTGTCAAACTGGGACAGTTGGAAGGTGTACTGAAATGTGTTCATCTTCACCACATTATGGTTTGACTCCATTAATGAAGGATGGATGTTTTGCTATTTATGGCTGGCCATATTTTGAAAAAAAAAACCAGTATATTAGGTTGTTGTAAGTTTTTCGGGCTGTATGGCCATATTCCAGAAGCATTCTCTCCTGACATTTCGCCTGCATCTATGACAGGCATCCTCAAAGGTTGTGACTTCACAAGCTCTGAGGATGTCTGCCATAGATGCAGGTGAAATGTCAGGAGAGAATGCTTTGGGAACATGGCCATACATTTTGAAAAACTTCAACAACTCAGTGATTCTGGCCATGAAAGCCTTCAACAATAGATAGTATATTTTAAGTGATGGTCTTCTTTTGGCACTGCATTTGCTTCCAAGGATGCTTCTGAGCCCCAGTGACATTCTAGAAAAATTTAAAAAGCTGACAAGTGGTGATTTGAAGCTTGCATGTGCTCATCATCAGTTTGTTTTATGTAAAACTGGCATATATACCCAGTGGGTTGTTGTAGGTTTTTTCGGGCTATATGGCCATGGTCTAGAGGCATTCTCTCCTGACGTTTCACCTGCATCTATGGCAAGCATCCTCAGAGGTAGTGAGGTCTGTTGGAACTAGGAAAAAGGGTTTATATCTCTGTGGAATGACCAGGGTGGGACAAAGGACTCTTGTCTGTTAGAGCTAGGTGTGAATGTTTCAACTGACCACCTTGATTAGCATATAATGGCCTGACAGTGCCTGGAGCAAATTTTTGTTGAGAGGTGATTAGATGTCCTTGTTTGTTTCCTGTGGTCCAGAAATGCTGGACCACTCTCACAACCACCATGTCAGAGTACACAGAGAAGCCATTGAAATCCACAAGCATGAGGACAATTTCAACAGAAAGGAGAAAACCATGAAAATAAACAAAATCTGGCTAGCAGTATTAAAAAAGTCTAAAATTACAACAGCAAAACAACAGAGAGGAAACAAGCAGGTCTTCTTGGGCCCGATCTGCTGAAGGCCGATGACTACTTTCTCCCTTCTCCAGTTCTGAGAAAGCCTACCTCACAACGTTTCTGTGACAACACTCTTGCAATAGTGGGCAGACTCTCTTTGTGGCTCTTTCCTTCCTCCTTCCCTTTCTCTCATGCACATCACCTTTCTTTCCCAGTGACATCGCAGGGGGCCACTTCACCTAGCAATAGCCAATCCTCATCTAGTAACAGCCAATCCAGTGACATCACAGAGAGCGACATTATCTTGTGGTGCCAAGAGACAGACAAGCATGCATACATACCTTGACATAGATGGATGGGTGGGTGGATGGATGGGTAGATAGCAAGATATAGCTAGATAGATTGATAGTGTCCAGTGGGCATACATGATTAGAGGATTCTTGGGAATATAGTGAGAAAGTGTAAGTCTCCGTCTCCCACTATGTAGGAGCAATCCTAGTGATTCTCACTTGCACTTCTGCCATAAATCAGACAATTTTGACATTGGTGCAAAGGCAAATGCAGACTTCGTTTTCTACCACCCATTATCTCTCTGCTAAAATTAGATTTTGTTAGACTTCAAACAAATAAAAGAAGGCTCTCTACTAAATATATCAAGCCAGGGGTTAGTTTCTCCAAGTTATTTGAACACGTTGTTTGAGTTGACATAAAAGAGCAGCGAAGAATGAGAAACGTGACAAAGCTCTCAAAGATGTTATGGTTCAATAAAACAGTAAATGACAAAAGAATAGGGATGGTTAGAGCTGAAGCTGAACCTTTTAGGATGGCATTCTTAAATACCCATTGAATGCAGGGGATTTGCTTTTGAGTAAATACACTAAAGTTTATACTATCTGTGCTGTCAACATGCTGCTTTAAAAGATGCATCTTCTGTCTGTATTTATTTACCTCTCTGCCAAACTCTCCCCTTCAATGTCTATAATCCATTCTCATAAAGTAGGGAAGGTAAACAGAAAGACTTCAGGTGATGATTCTGCATTTCCTGGGATGAAGATACACTACTGGCTCTTATTCATTATTATTTTGTACAGGCTTTACCCAGTTGCATTTTTGTATATTTTTGTTATAGTATGCGCATTACATTAGTCCTGATGTATCTTAGCCATCAATGACCACTGGGCATTCTTGCCGGTGTCCTATCCAAATTATCTGCTTTGAACTGAGTTATATGGCACTGTAGACTCTTATAATCCAGTTTAGGGGCCATGGTAGCACAGTGGGTTAAACCACTAGTGTAGCAAATCTGATGACCAAAGGGTTAGCAGTTCAAGGATGTGAGTCGGGGTGAGCTCCCTCTGTCAGCCTTAGCTTCTGCCAACCTAGCAGTTCGAAAACATGTAATGCGAGTAGATCAATAGGCACCATCTCAATGGGAAGGTAAAAGGGTGCCCCATGCAGACATGAAAACGTATCGGCAACACAATCGGAGATATCTATGGACAACAACTCCTCGGCATGGCAAAGGGAACAAAAGCACCTCCACATGGCTGGAGTTGAACATCGCCTCCAGACGCCAGAGATGGAAGGGGAAGGCCTTTACCTTTGTTTGTGTATTTTATGTCATTGTTGTTCATTGTGTAAATAAGGCACTGAATGTTCGCCTTATATGTGTATACTGTAATCAGCTCTGAGTCCCTCCGGGGAGATAAAGCGGAATATAAATAAAGTGTATTATTATTATAAAGCAGATAATGTGGATTAACTGTTTTGAAAATCTGGATTATATGGCAGTCTTGAAAGGGTCTTACATAGTTTTATATAACATAATAGGCTATATATAATTTCAGCACTTGTCTGTAAGCTCTACTTACAATAGTTCCATCTCCATTAGCATACCCTAATTGAGAAAAACAAATTTCCAGCATAAGCTTCTGGATTGATTGAAGAGGACAGGAGTTTATGAAGGTGTGTCCTTTTTCTTGGTCTCAAAGAAATTCCTTTATATCTTTTAATGATAAAATAGACTAACAGCTCTATGTTTTCCTATCCAACTTGTACAGCAATTGTAAGCTTATCATTTCATATAATGACATGCAGTTTGATCTACTCAAGTACTGGTTTCTCTTTTCTAGGAAAGAATATTTAATTTCAGCACTAGTTAATAATTTCACTTTATTCAAATAGTGTTACAGGCATCATATACTATATATACGTATATTAAAGTGCTTCAAATACTTTTCTTCCCTTTTCAATTCAGTCTATATTTAAAAGGCAATCAATATAGCTGTATGGTTTAAAAATATTTCGTATGGCTTAAATTTATGTTGTGGAACTCAATCATCTGAGTTGGAAGTAATGGGAAAGGTATGGGTAGGTTCATTTAAAAAGTATGGTAATTTTAGCTGTCCAGAAAAAAACAGTATGTCTAACTTAATATGGCACAACCCTCATACTTGTGAGGGATATGTTCCTTGACTTTGAATGGATATATGAATCCATAGATATTAGCAAATTCTACTGAAATGAAGAATCTCAGGCTCAAAAATACCATATAGCAGAGGTTCTCAACCTGTGGGTCCCCACGTGTTTAGGCCTACAACTCCAAGAAACCCCACCCAGTTTACCAGCTGTTAAGATTTCTGGGAGTTGAAGGCCAAAACATCTGGGGACCCACAAGTTGAGAATCACTGCCATACAGTCTTACTGGAGGACCTAGATAACAGATATGTTGTTGGAGGAGGACAAATGCAGCTGTAAATGCTAAGACCAGGGTAGGAAGACCCCAACTGAGGGAAAACGCCAAGGGGATGGGTATGAATGCCTTGATGACTACTATGCTAATCTTCAGGCATCTGTTAGATGTGATTGCCTCATTCTCCCTTCTGGTAGTGTGACACAGTTTCCAGCAAGATCTTCCCAGGAGAGATAAGACAAAGAAATCGAATTATTTCCAGTTTACAAAAGTAATCAAGAACCCATAACATTATTTAATATTACTTCACCACCCACACTGTTTGGTCTGTAGCCATTACTCCTTAGCCCTTCTTCTCTTTCATCAAAAAGATCAGTTTGGCCCAAGCTATGCTCTGCGAAAGCATTTCAATAACATGATGAACAGCTGCAGTACAAGGAACTAGGTTTTCAACATGATTCTAGCCCCACTCATCAAACTATCTTAAAAATAAGGCATCATTGATTAGACCATAATTGCTTAGTAGTAAAAACACATGCAATTCATTATCTCCTCCTTGTGGCAGTCTAAACCAATATTATTATTTTTTCTTTGTCTAAATGAGGCAGTATGTGAAGAGGCAACCAAGATCCCTGGTAAAAAAATATCTTTGTCCAACTTCATGTAGAAGGCTGGTGTTGGGACATCTTCCTGAGAAAGATCCTCATCCATTTGTTTTTCAGAACAGACTTGGTTCTTCACTGCTGATGGATTCATTTTCCTGAATGTACTTGAGAATGTCCACTCCGCCCATGGCTTGAATCTTCACTTCCGTTGGCTTGGATTTCAAGGCTGGTGTTTCGGGGACTTTAGGAGCTGCTGTTGAAGGCTTCTTAGGTACTACTGGCTTAGGTGGCACCTTGGGCTTCGGCTTGGGCTTCCACATTTTCTCAAAATCATCTTCCACTCTGGACAAGAGAGGCAGAAATATAGTTAGAGGTGAAGGCTATTTTATTTCATCTGACTTAAATCTGATATCTAAATTAAGCCACTGTCTTTTTATCATCAAGCTGTTCTTTTCATTTGTTTGAGAAAGAAGAGTAGCTCCTTTGGGTTTGCTAATGCTTTGTATAGAGAAGGCCACAAAGTCTATCTCCAATATTGCTGGGAAAGGTTGGGAAACATACTGTGCGAGCCATTCGGATATTAGGCATTTGGTTACGTCATGAAGAGCAGCCATTAGTATATTCCAACCCGCTCCATCTCCAAATCACAGTATCTAGACATTTCACTTTTCCCAGAATTCTGATTGAGTCAAAAACCAGATTTAAAGTGGATCCATGCTCTAGTGTGATGATGCTCTAAGGCATCTCAGCAAGCTACACAGACAACATGGGCAATGTCATCAAAAAGAAGTCTAATGGACTACTAAAAGACAGGCCCCATTTATTTTCATGTCTTAGACTAAAAGCACTGGGACACCAAAGATCTCACTATCAAACTGTTAAAAAGCAGCTTCTACCTACGGAGGAGAAAGCAAATTGTTGGATATCACACTAAGCACCATTTGTTGTGTATCACACCAAGCACTATAGGAATAATTTTTATATACATATACATACATACATACACAATAGTCAATAAGAACCTATGGATCAGCAAGGTTTTGTTCTGTTATTTTTTCTTCACACTTAGCACTCTCTAAATACTTGAATGTTAAAATAGCATGTGCTGTGAAAGATGTTTTACAGTTATGATTTCTGACATAAATAGGTGTGACAGCAGCTCCAATTTCCTTCGGGGGAAGCCAAATGGTATAAAGAGCAGATTTAGCTCTTAAATGCATGCACTATTTTGTTCCTTCTTTCTAAACATCACATATGCTGTGCCATTAAAATCAGTTCAAGTATTGCTATTTATTTATTTATTTGCTTCGCTTTTATACCGCATATTTCAGCCTTTAGCAGGCGACTCAATGCGCCTTTAGCAGGCGACTCAATGCGCCTGACTTCGACAGATGCAAAAACCATCCTTTCTTTTTATTTTTAGAGGTGTACCAAATGATCGATGATTCAGGCTAGGATCCCGTAAGCACAGCTCAAGGAACTGACAAAGTCACTTCAAGATATATGCTTTGTTGTGCTTCTAATGGTGTAAACCTAGAGAATAAGCTGCCAAGCAACATAGGCAACAGAGGGCGCATCCACACAGGGTGAAAAATGCTCATTCTCCTGAATTTTTACATGGGGGTCCAAATTACACCCCATGCAAAAATGAATTTCTTCAGGGCAAAGCGGAAATATCCTGCATGTTTCCTAAGTAATTTGATAGTGGACTATATCCGGGTCTTGTTGAAAGACCCAGGTCTCACCCACTATAACCGCTGTCTGGACTGTCCCCTTGGAAGTTCTGGGACATCTGCAGGGGCAGTCCACACAGCCCTCTTGCATTTTCTAGGCTGAATCAGCCCGGAAAACACAGAAAACACTAACCACCTCCCCAAAAGCCCCCAGAAAAACCTTTAAAATAGAATTACTTACCTGGCGAGCATTTCCCTGCTGTTGGCCCTCTCCTGGCCTTTAGAAGTGATGTGCCAGGAGAAGGGGGGGGGGAATCGCTCCTGGCCCCCCTTCTCCTGGTGTGTCATTTCTACATGCCAGAAGAGGGCCAGCAGCAGGGAAATGCCAGCCAGGTAAGGATTTTTAAAGGCTTTTCTGGGGGTGGGGGGTTCTGTTGTGTCTGGGTGCCCTGCAAAAAGGTCCAGCAGGGCTTCTGGACACCCCTCAGGAAATCGCGGGTGTTCACAGATGGTGTCTGGACTGTAACGCGAGCCCAATCGGGATTTTTAAACCCAATTGGGCTTGCATTAAAGTCCTGTCTGACTGGTCAGAGACAGACTACTTTCTAAGCTCTTTGTCCAAGAAATGCTACAAGGCTCTGCCTGTGGTTCCCAAGATGGGAACATCAGGCATGATTTCAATGAAGAGTGAGCAGCACATGGAGTGTGGGCCACTTGACCAACTGGGTGGACTCCACCATCTTAATTCAGGAATGGAAAAGAAATCCCCACAAATGTAGCCAGGGGAAACATCTATACAACATTGCTTTCTGAAGGAATTATCACTCTTGTCTACCTGCCAGGTTGTGATAATATGTTTACATATTCCAAAAGTAGAAGAATGGCTATCCATAGCCACATAAGAACATTCCACACTAATTCTCAGCATCCAGCCATACCCTTTGATAACTTCAAGAAACAGAACTCGATTGTGCTGCCAGGACAGACAGGAGCAGGGTCACATGGGTGAAACAACAGTATCCTTAAGTTGGTTACCTCACTCACATCACCCTGCTCATAAGGTTAGAAAGTCCTATGGTGCATGAGATTTCCAGGTCTTCATTCTCTGCCAATAATTGCCAGTGCTGGTCATCACAAGAGTAGTAAGAGGGGTTCACAACAGCCAAGAACCCATTGTTTTTTCAGACCCATGATTCTACAGCTAAAATACAAACTAGAAGATAAAGTCCAAAAATGGAATTTCTAAGGTCTGGTTGGAACAGAAAGGTAGATCAAAGATAATCTCTTTCACCCCATAAATCTTCTCCCTGAAGGCTATTTTGTGATTTGGGGGGGGGGGCATGTATTTCCATGCCTCTACCTATTTGTATTGGAGCTGCGGTGGCACAATGGGTTAAACCCTTCTGCCAGCTGGACTGCTGACCTGAAGACCTGAAGGTCAGCGGTTTGAATCCACCAGATGAGATGAGCTCCCATGTGTCAACCCCAGCTTCCCATGCAGGGACATGAGAAAAGCCTCCCACAGGATGGTAACATATCTAAGCATCCCCTGGGCACATCCTTGCAGACGATCAATTCTCTCACACCAGAAATGACTTGCAGTTGATTCTCAATTTGCTTCTGACACAATTTAAAAAAAATCCCTTTTCTAGTATCCAGTGCAGTCACAGGAAAATGGTGATCAGCTTAAATGTTGACAGTTATGTTCCTTCATTTGGTCTTACCCTTAGACTTCATGGTGTTACATGCATAGAGGGAAAGCAATTTGTTCATATGGTAGAATTCTCTCTGAAATAGCCAAATTCATGTAGAATTGGTATTGTGAGTGGTGGCTATTTGTTTCATAAATCCCAAAGTAGCATTACTTTTGGTTATACAAAAAGATTTTTAGTTACCTAAGCCAATATCAAACCAATGGCATGTCATTTTTGCCAAACATAGATTCCATGGGGGGAAAAAACCAAAATACCACAACATTTTATGGACAGCTACCAAAACCAACAACAGAAAAAACATCCAAAATATTAAGAAAATATTTGAAGTACAAAAGGTAGTTGTCTGTTTATAAGGTTATAAAGAAGAGTAAGCCATAGACATCTCGATTCTATTTTAAAGGTTTATAGAATAAAACAAGCTAAATTCAGATTAAGAAGGAAACACTTTGTTTGAAACTCTTGTCATAATACCATCATGATTTTACTTCAGGCTGGTCTTAATGGAAAATATGTATGGCTTTTAAATAGGTCAGATGAACCAGAAATAAAGGGTCAGGTGAAAAGCTCATAAAAATGCATGTGTTGGCACAAACTTGTCTTAAAGAAATATACTTAGCTACTAGTGAGAAAGATACTATTGGTTAGCTTTAGTTTCCTAAATTGGTATATTAGGTGAACTGTGAGAGAAATCTACTCCTTGGAAAGGAAATTCACTCCTGAAAGATTTATCATGGGGAAAAGGTGTCTCCACTGCAGCTTCATCACCAATCCTTGTTTCCACAAGCCAATTTTTTCAAAATCCAATAATCACAGGGATAGAAAGTAAGGTGAAATCTCCTGAACAGGGACACAGACAGCAAAACAAACACCACAGGGGTTGCTAACCCATCCCTATGCTATCAAAAGCTTATATGTATGTATGTATGGGTGGATGGATGGGTGGATGGATGGATGGAGAGAGAGAGAGAGAGATAAGCTGGAGTTACACTTTTTAAAAAGTACCTGCTTCAACTTACATCCAAATTCAACTTAAGAACAAACCTACAGAACCTTTCCTTGTCCATAACTTGGGGACTGCCTGTAATGGCAGGTCAGTAGTTTGTCTAGTGTTATCTGTATTAGACTAAAAACATAGTTGGCTTCTGCAGAGTGAAATGCCATGTATGTACCAAGCAGCCTGTAGAACATTTGGGTATGTTTAATAGCTGACAGCTACGTGGAAAGAACACAGGGTAGAGCTGTCTATTCGTTTACAGCAGGCAGATCTTTTCAGGTCAGGAACATTGCAGTAATAACAAATTGCTCCTTTCACAAGACCAAAACATGTTGAGTGGAAATGCCCAGCTCAGTGAACATTGTACATAATTCATATAAACACAATGAAGACTGGCAGTTCTGAAGTGAAGTCAATCAGTTGGTGAATCCTCTCTGGATTTAATTTAAATCTATGGGTTTAGTTGAAACTTATAAAGTTTTGAATTCTATACTCATTATATGTTCAGCATATTGCCGAGATCATTTTGAATTCAGACTAAAACATGAAGCAGTTTCACTGAGATCAGATCTACCAGCCTTCACTGGATAAAATGTACAGTTGGTCCTCCGTATTCATGAATTCTGCAATCATGGATTTCACCATCCACAGGCTGGAAATGTTTTTTTAAAAAAGAAAAATTCAAAAAGAAAACAGTGATTTTTCCATTTAATTAAAGGGATGCCATTGCATACAATGGGACTTGAGCATCCATGGATTTTGGTATTCACAGGAGGTCATGGATACCAAGAACTCACTGCATTCAGAGTTCATACAATCAGAAATACTTTTTTTAAAAAAAGTAAATAGCAGCTGAGATAGTGACATCTTCGCTTTCTGATGGTTCAGTGCACACAAGCTTTGTTTTATCCCTAAAATTATTAAATATATTTTATTTGCATATTTGTACATCATGAGATGTCTTGAAGATGAGACCCAAGTCTAAACATGAAAGATCTTTATGTTTCATTTATATCATATACATGTAGGAATTTCATATTTCGACTTGTGTTCCAAGTATTTTGGATATGGGATACTGAATTTGTGTAAAGATTTGACTATTTGGTGTCACCTGGTCTCTAGGATTTGAGCTGAGTTCAAATCCAGCATATATCGTTCTTTATTATCTGCCTACCTTCTCCTTTCCTGGTTTTGCCTTCTTTCTTGGGCCCCTTCTAGGTCACTTCTACACATGCTTTAAAATGTGGAAGAAACCAGGATAAAAGAGGAGGTGGCTAACTGATGTTTCATGAATATATGCACTGATTTGGATTAACAGCTGAAAAAGGTGCTAAAAAGGTGATCTTAAAACCTGATTTCAGCTGAAAAATGTGCATATTCACATGACTGTATATCCCTGCAGTCAAGGAAAACACATGATTTCATTCCTATACATTGGTATGGACTGCTCCAGCACATGTGCGCATTTTAAAATTGCAAAACAGCTGATCTGCACTGTAAACAAATGGAGCCACTGACACAGGTGGCTAAATGGTAGCACAAATGGAAAGCAATTACAATGAGAACTCTCTGCAACCATTCCTTTGTTCTAATGTTTATGAAATTAAAGAAAGCTTGAATGTACAGTAGGGTGAGAAGAGATAATAAGAAATCTGCTTACATGTACATTTAGATATCCGCATGAGCGCATATGAGGTCCTGTGAATCTGGGAGAGTCAATTTTTTAAAAAGATAAACGTACACTGGATGTCCCCCTTCCATTTTGTGGATTTCTAAAATCTGCTACAAACAAAGGTGTAAGGGCAGTGGGGCAACCATTTAGGACTGACAGGTCTATGTTTGAACTTGCTGTCAGTTTCCCCGATTTTTTGCCCCACTTATTCAGTCTGCATTTTGACATTGTCTGAAAGCACCCCAAGCCCCTTTCACATTGCTGTATAGAATCCAGATCATCTTCTTTGAATGGAAGTTATGGCAGTGTGGACTCGTATAGGACTCGTATAGCAGATAATCTGGATTATTTGAATTTATAATCTGGATTATATGGAAGTTTAGAAGAGGTGTGAGTTCAAAATGCCAAAGTAGATTGCACTCAATGAAACAGGGAGGACAGGAGAGGAGTGGGCAGAATCTTCACCTTCCAAGTATGTTTAGGCAAAAGCAAACTGCAGCAGCATTTCCTAGCACGTGTGCGCTCCCTCATTAGTCACTTTTGTCCACTTGGCTACATTCTGATGGTGCTTGGCCACATGTGTCCCTGTTTTCATCTGTGAGATTTTGGAGGGCACGCAATCCTTCAAGTTGGATGGAATAGCATAGGGGACTGTTGTTAGTTTTCACTGAAAGCTTCTCATAGATAAAAAAACAAAAGAGAGATAAGGAAGGGTTGAGATCTGGGCTTGCCCCATCTCATTCTAACAGCAGGAACACATTGTTTACAAGCCCTGCCTTTCCCTGACTAATGTAGGCTTTTAAATTGTTTTTGGGTTTTTATTGCTTTGCTTTCTTTTGCTTTTAATTATTTGTTCAAAAGAAAAAAAATATTTAGCAGGGTGAGCCCAAGCCAAAGACTTTGATTAAGCATTTCCCATTATTGTCCCTTTAATGATAACTGTGCTAAATGTCTGCTTTGCTTGTTACCATGGCTTTTAGCTAGCTGTCGTAAAGCAAATAAGACTTGGGGCAGGAAGTATACTGTTTCCAATATAATTTGTGAAACAAAATAAAGAAATCAGTTTCTACTTAAAATTGAAGCAAGTGATTTGTGGACCACAAGCATCAGTTGTCTGGATCAGACAGGCAGAGTTGGCTTTGGTTGAAAATGGAGGAGTTTGGCATTCAATTCAGCTGGTTTCATGGCCTTTCCCATTGTACCACACTGTTCTGCACTTTCCTTCTTCTTCCCCCTGTACATTCAGGAATACAAGCAGATTACGAACAGAGTAAGTTCTGTAGGAATGTAAGTAAGTTGGTGCATTTTTTAAGCTTCAGGGGAGGGTCTGTCCAGACAGTACCTTTATCCCAGGAGCTTCTGCAACAAACAAGAGGGTGGCCCAATGCCATTGCCTGTAAATGCAGAAGCTATCGCTACAAAAGGCAAAAAACATGAGATTTCCAAGTGCAGGAATATAATGGTTTTGAGCCGAATATCCACATCTTCAATGTCTGTATGTCCCTGCAATCGGAAATCTAGATTTTTTTTTATCTAGGTTTTTTCACAGGTTTTAGATGCTTGTTCCTGATTGGTCAGCTCCTAAAAAGAAGGTAACACTTGAGTAGAATGTGAAAACTTTGTGTGAAAGGAACTTCATGAAACATGTGGAGGGCACATTTTCTCTGGCCAGGACAAAGTTGTGGCCCCCTAGTCAATACTGTATATCTTTTCACCAGAGCCCCTGGTGGTGCAGTGGGTTAAACCCTTGTGCGTGCAGGACTGAAGACCGACAGGTCGCAGGTTCGAATCCGGGGAGCGGCGGATGAGCTCCCTCTATCAGCTCCAGCTCCTCATGTGGGGATATGAGAGAAGCCTCCCACAAGGATGATAAAACATCAATTCACCCCGGGCAACGTCCTTGCAGACGGCCAATTCTCTCACACCAGAAGCGACTTGCAGTTTCTCAAGTCGCTCCTGACACGACCAAAAAAAAAATCTTTTCACAAAAAGAGCAATCAGGAACAGACATGTATAACCCAAGAACAGCACCCTATTGTTTGATGCCACAAGTACACAACCAAATCTGTCTGGACAGAGGGCAAGGCAGCCAGACTCTAAAAAGTGTCAATAATGACAATTTTTTGTTCCTGGCTTGAAAGTGTGTGTTCCTGTTTGGCTGTGCAGTGGTGATTTGGGCAGAAGTGGTCCTACCCCGTAAACTTTGTTTGTGTGGCAGATACTTCATGAACCGTCTGGCCAGGACAAACTGAACTTTTGCAGTGATTTGCTGCAGTAATGCTCCACATATCCGCATCTAGAGGGGTTTTTTAAAAAAAATAACAACTGAAGTTTCCGATGAAAGTCCCACAGCGGCCATCTTGGCCTCTAAATCTTACAACAAAGTGTCAAGTTTGGACAATGGAGGCAGAACTCCCAGGACCAACAGGTCTGTATGTGGACCTCTTCTGAAGTCCTGGGACTTTTTGGTCCTGTTTAAAACCCATGATTCAGTGCTGTCTGGAAGCGCCCAGAGACACCTTTTCCCCATGATAATGTTTCCAGGAGTGAATTTCCCTTCCAAGGGATAGATTTATCTCACTTCCTGTTGTCTCATCCCCGTTCTTAATTATGAATCATTTATAAGTTGGATATTTGCAACTCGGGAACTGCATTTATTTTTATCCAGATTTTGAAAACAAATGGACATAATGTTACCTTTGTAACCAATGCTTCTCTATAAAGTATAAAGTAAAATTAAATGTTGGAACCTCCTTTTGGCTTGATTTTTGACATCAAGGATAAGCAATCTCTACAGGTCTGGAATGAACACACACCACGCTACCACTGCTGATATTGCCAATGAAATTAATTGGTGCATAGGAAAGCATGTTTCTTTTTTGCCTTTGAAACAAGCATGAATATATGTCCATCTCTGCTTATTGAGTTAAAACAGAATAAGTTTTTGTGAGAGAGAGAAAGAAGAGAGAGTGAGTTCCACCTCCCACCCAGCTTCACCATTCCAGCAAAATCCAGTTATGCCCTGAAGGCATCATATTTTGGAAAACTGGATGTGCTGCCAAAGCAAGAGAGACAATATATAATTAAACATTACTAGGAGTGAATTAAGGTAGGTGTCATGAATGTGACTTGTTAATATTAATACCTTTTGTATAAACAATGGAAGACACCGTTTCTTGTTTTCCATAGGACCTCACACAGTGGAGTTTATCTCCTGCCAGTAAGAACTGGTTATTAAAACTTCAGAACATTAAACGAAAAGTATAACCGCCAGCCTGAACATCTTCCATGCACGTGTAAACATTGTCCTGTACAATTTCAAAGATCTCTCCTCTCAATGTGCAGCATGGTCAAATCCTCAAAAATTGTAGTTATAGTAATTATTTATAATACACATAAGTGCTAGGACAAAACTGGCCCAAGTGGATTATTATCACTCTTCCCAACCCGAATCTTGTGGGTTTGGAATGATGGGAGTTACAGTCCAACAGACTTGATGTGAAAAATTGAATTATTTTTTCATATGTCCATCCGGAGTGGACATAACAAAGGACTATTTGCCATGAATGCTGTGCAAAATTGCTGAGTTTTGTGCAACTTCCCATCTACTCAAGGTTTTTGTAAAAAAAAACTCATAAAAAATCTCATGGTGGATAACCATTTCTTCCACATCCTGATGTCCTCAAACCTACATTACCATGGTATTTTGAAACACTATTTCCAACTACAAACCAGGGAAAGCTTTTAGTATTATTTACACCAAAGCAAAGCTTGGAAAAGTTATTTCTTAGACTACACCCATAGTCATAAAATACAACAATCACAAGCTCTTCTTCAGATGGTTCTTGAGAACAATACCTCAGTAGTTGCTCAGTGTCCTCTTCAAGGCTAGCACTTAATGCATGTTGTTCGCTTGCACAGGCAGTCGGCAATAACAATGAGTCACCAAGAGCTACCACTCCACCAAGATCTGGATCTTCAAATAATTTCAGATCTAATGTATCAAGAAAAAAACAATTTTCTTCAGTTATGAGCTGTACGCAGCAAGAACAATCTAAATCAGGCATGAGCAAACTTTGGCCCTCCAGGTATTTTGGACTTCAGCTTCCACAATTCCTAACAGGTGGTAATCTGGCTGGGATGTCAAGGGAGTTGATGGTCAAAACAACTGGAGAACCACTGTCCTAGACTGAGGATGAAAATCTTGAAACCACTCTTCACATAATGACCTTGGCCAACTGAGGTAGTTGCTTCACTTTCCTTAATGGTAGGATAAACCATGTTTACTCACTTCTACTTTGTGGCAGAACAACATGCTTTACCATATTTCAGGACACCAGGTAAGCACTGTTATAGCATTATTATTTTATTATGTGTGCTGGGATTATAGTCATGTATTTTGTTGTGGAGTTGGGAAGTCACAACTGACCAAATCAACAGCTGCACCTTCACAGTCTTTCAGTCATATAGTTAGGGTACATCCACACTGTAGAATTGATTCAGTTTGACACCACTTTTTAAATTGTCATGGTTCAATGCTATGAAATCATGGGAGTGATGGTTTCACAAGGTGTTCAGTCTTCTCTGCCCAAAAATGTTGGTGCCTCAACAAACTACAACTCTCATGATTCCATAGCACTGAACCATGACAGTTAAAGTGGTTCGAACTGCATTTATTCTACAGCAGTGGTTCCCAACTTTTTTTGACCAGGGACCACTTGAACAGGCACCACTTTGACGAGGGACAACTCACCAATATTAGTACAAAAGAGTTAAAAATCAGTTTTTCGTCAACTTTAGATTTGGTTTGGTTATTTGGGGTGTTGAATCAGAAAATTTAATTGGATAGACCACATTAGCTCAAGTTTTTGATACAGAATATAGGCCATCCAGTAGTCGCCATCTGCTCACCCACAGAAAACCATATTTAATAAGTCTCAGCACTATAAGAGGATTTTGTGAGACCAGTTGCTCTCGCTGCAATGGTGTAGTAATGGTGAGGCCACATAACATATTTTAGTTCTTGCAGACCACCGATGGTCCATGGACCACAGGTTGGGAACCACTGTTCTACAGTGTAGATGCGTCCCAAGTCTCCCTTTTTGGCACAGCCATATTCCACCTATTAGCTATAACGAATACAGTACTTACGCAATTGGCAAATAAGAACACAAGGAAAGCGATCTGGCATATTTGTGTCTGTGGGAATGATATATGCATTTTCTTGCTTTGAAGCTCCGGTCAACTTTCTTAACCAGTAGAGTTAGCTAAATTAGTTAAGGATCTGTCACTGAGAAATAAATGATTATGTCCAGAATCAGTTATATTTAGGATTTTAACCATAAATGTTTTATAAGCTTGTGGTACTTCTGCCAATAAAATAAAGTGTAACGTACTTTCATTGGCTGCCAAAATCCTCTTGTTGCTACTGAATGGAAAATTTTTCGCAGAGCCAAACAGTCCTTCATCTGGATTCACTTCTTCATCAAAAATGGTTAATGCTGGCTTGTCTTTTTTGGCTGGAGAAGACTTGGGCTTCTTGGTCTTTTTAGATCTAAAGATTGAATAACAAGGGAAAAAAACATCATTTATTAATGCAACCTCATGGACTTGCAAACTGTGAACTTTCCAGGGGTGACGATCATGATCTAGGGTTGTGATAGCTTAATCTTTCCCGATATTTCCAATGCTCTGCTCCTGCCCATACCTGCATTCATGTTATGTGTATAATGCAGTAGTTCCCAACCTTTGGTCATCCAGGCATTTTGGCCTTCAACTCCCAAAAGAACCAGTCATCTTACCATCTGTTAGGAATTGTGGGAGCTGAAGTCTGAAACACCTGGATGACTGAAGGTTGGGAACCACTAGAATAAGGTGTGCAAGTTTAGTGCCCCTTCTCCAAAATGTCTGGGATCATAAATGCTTTCGATTTTTGAATATCTGTATTTACAGACACATACACTATGAGGTATTCTAGAGATGGCATGCAAGCTTAAATATAAATGAATTCACTCTATGCACATAACCTTCTATGCACAACATTTTAAAAATAATGTTGTGATTGAAACAATGTTTGTATGCACTGAACCACCAGAAAGCAAAGATGTCACCATCTCAGCTAACCATGTAGACCATTTTGCATTTTGGAGTAGTTCAGGTTTCAAAATCATGGATGAGAGATTCTCAACCTATAAACGAACGTTAAATGAATTTCATTTTTGGACTAGTTCCCCATTCATATATGTATGAACACACAATCAAAGTGTGTGTGTGTGCATGTGTATTCAAAATCCAAAATAGCTATAATTCCAAGAATTTCAGATAAGGGATATCCAACTTACAGTACTATACTTTTAAAAATAAGGTTGTGGGAACAGTAAGTACACATTGTTCATTATACTTGAAAAACAGAGACCTAACTAATTATCATAGTATTCTGTGAAAAGAATACTGTGATCTGCTATTTACAAATTCATGTGAGAAATGTTCTTATAGTTTGTCATAAGATACTGTAAGATATATAATCAGTATAATAGCTAAACTTTTAAATCAATGTTAGAGTGATGCTGGGCATTTTCATTGTGCCAGGAAAATAAATGGAGAACATAGCAATCTAGTTGCAACATACTTCCAAAAAAAATAAAATGAATTACCATTCAGTCATACCTGAAAGTCATTTCAATGAATCAGCAATTCCAATGAATATGCAGTTCATTATGCACAATGAACCTATACTAATGCATTTTCATAGGTGTGTGGGCTGCAGCTAACCAAAGAAATAATTATACCTGTTCAGCTCATTACACACTTTTTTCCCTTTTTAGTACAGCAATATTCCACTACTGGATGTATTTAACACAATACTATTTGCACTATCAGCTAATAAGAAAACAACAACCTTCTTTACAGAAGTCCTTTCTAATAGCTCCTCCTAGAGCAGTGGTTCTTAACCTGGAGTCCCCAGATGTTTTTGGCCTTCAACTCCCAGAAATCCTAACAGCTGGTAAACTTGCTGGAATTTCTGGGAGTTATAGACCAAAAACATCTGGGGACCCCAGGTTGAGAACCACTGTCCTAGAGTTTTATTCTCCTTTAAGCCTGCCCCTTTAAGCATGGAAGCCCACCAGCTCCCATTACATGACACAACTAATTCCATGAGGTTCCGTGTTAAAGGGGCGGTGAGAGCATGCTGTCATGGCGGCAACACAGGAGACTTTCTGTGTTCCGCCAGGGAAAATGTGGGGAAGCTGGACAGTCAACATTTCCCTCCATGGTAAATTGGGTGATAGGTTCCCCACACTCCCCAACATACACCACCAGAATCAACACAATGCGTGGCAATTCCAGTGGCCTTTATGATGAGGTCCTAATTGGTGATACTCAATGAAACCTGGTAATGGTACATGTAATGCACATGAAATGGCAGGCAGAAGGAAGTGTTTGCTTATAACCTCTCCCTGTGGTTGAGAACAGTATATTTTCAGAATTTCCAGAATCATAAAGAAATTGAGAATTGTATATTTTCAGTAAATCCAGAATCTTAAATCCTAAAGAAGTGTGGGAACATGAAAAGCATCTCACTTATGAACTATTGTTGTGCATTCAAATGTGACCATGTTTCCTTCAGCGTTTATTCCTTTTATAGCCATCACTCATAACTTCTGGACAGCATAAACACTGTAGATTTCCTAAGGTCACCTCAAAACAAGGAGACACTCTTCCCATAGTCTGTATTTAGCATCTTTCCGATGTCTCAGCCCATGCTTGTCAATGGCATAAAATGTACCAATGTGAAAGCACATCCTCTGAAGAGAACATGAAACAGTTGTTGAATGACGGCCTTACTCCAAGGCAGGACGATTCCTCTGTCAAAATCCAGTAAATGGGATTAAGCTGAGGGCGGGAAGGCAGAATACTGTGGTGATGACTGATCACAAAAGCCACCGTATCCAGTGTGACGTCACCAGAAAGAGCTGAGAAAGCACAACATTTCATGAGAAAAAAACAGCAGAATTCCCATCCTGCCTCACTATTCAGTCAGATCCTGGCTTATTCTTAGCACAACTTGCAACTTTTCCAAAAACACCCCTTATTTTTAAAACAAGTTGGGGCTGGCAAGCTTATTTCAAAAGGTTTGTTGAGAGCAGACTTAACGAAGCTTGGATTGTCATATCCCACAAAGTGATTTCGGTCACTGCTGGCACACTGCTGTCACTTTCTGGAACTAAAACTGTGCTGGATCACAGAACATATTCAGACTGTAAAAATGCAGGGGAATTGATGCATAGCTTCAGGCTTAAAACTATAAAAGGCATCTGGAGAAGGTCCCACAGCAGATATTTCAGGAAACTGTGCACCGGGGAATATTAAAATTTTGTAGAATTTCCTCTGGCCTATGTCCTTCATAATTGGTGTACTTTTTAAAACAATTCTCTTTGTATTTTTTTCTTTCTGTTCTATATGTACATGACCTGTTATTGAGAATTCACAGAATGACAGAAGTGCAAAATCACTTGACCACAAAATGTTGCTTCAAACATATCCCCACATAGACATAGAAGAGTAGGTCCAAAAAGAATTAAAAACTGGATTTATCTTCAACATTACCTGGGAGTAAATTATAGCAATTTAACACTGTCTTAATTGTAATGGTTCTTTGGTTGAACATTCTGGATTGCAAATCCCAGGGTTTTGCAGGATGTTGCCATAATAGTTAAAGTGGAATCATAACACTACAATTGTGTAGCATGAAAAAGCCCCCAAAAGGGATTTACTACATATAGTGTATTACAATATATTCCAAGCCATGTCAACTACTATGAGAGTAACTGGAGTTCAAGATCAATCTGTTTAGAAATTTCAGAGGTAATTTTCTGTACTCACAAATAAATAGTTGTTGATCAGAAAAAGGAGACAGTAGTCATGATGAAATGAACCACTTTGCCTGTTCAGCTATTGAAACAAGATGTGAACACTCAAGATATCTGTGTCAGACCTGCATTTATAGTTATGTAAATGAATCCCTCCTATATTAAAATTCAATGTATTTATTTATTTATATTTAAATATTATTTATTTATTTATATATACAAATAATTCCATAACTAGCGGTTGGTAGTCCACAGTTAAGGAAGGGAACTTTTAACAAGTTTGGCCCTATCAACACAGGTGGCTAATGTGACCTATGACCCCATCATATGGAAGTTTTCCTCGATATGTGCCCACTTCTACACACTTCAAAGAATGACTCCATGGAACCCATCAAATGATGCATGACTACTTCCTGTGTGGGTTGGTAAATGTGTATAAGCAAAATAAGTAGAAGCTTTACCACAGTATTTAAACCAAGATATATCCTGCAGTATAATAAAATGTCACAGGCTTGTGAAACAAAATAACAGTATCTTTACTTTAGTTCACTCAAAGGTTCAAACATGATAACAATATATACATCAGTCTCTTTGAATTCAGGCAGGGAACAGAGGAATAAAATAGTCTTTAAAATAAGCCTCGTGTCTTAAAATGATCAGCCTTTAACATAATTGGCAGCCCAGCAATTTCTATTCACTGTCCAAAGTGAGAACAAAAGGCAGAATGACAGTTAGAACCGTTAACCTCAGCAGCCAGCCAGAGGCAGCAGCCAATCAGAACCCTGGCCCCTGGCACACTCAGCCAATTGGCTGCTGAGACATCTCTCTCCAGTTAACCCACCATATCATGGTGTCCTTTTTCAAATGCTAACACTTCCAGTGTTGGTTCATGGGAATTCATCTTCGCAGCATGTAGAAACTGGAGGATTTCAAAATTGGGGGAAAATTGACTTCACCCCTTTCCTTGCACATAGGAATGCTTAAAATGGGTATTTTTCCTTGTGATAGGAAGTGGTGGATTTGTCTGATTACTTTGCGACATTTCAGAGTTGGCATTAATGTCAGCTAATGTTCCTTCTCTTCCCATCAGTGCTTTAAAGATGGTGTGGTCCCCTTTGAAAGAAGTGTTTCAAAAAGTGTGCCTGCCTCCTTAGCGTAGGGGCTTCAGGGGAACGATCCCGTGGAAAGTGCTGTTTTGTTTCCAAAAGGAATTGATGCCTATCTTCTTTACTGACAAGGCTTCAGGGGGATGAGCTCATGAACGTGATGTTTCAAAAAGGATGCCTCTTTTAAAAAGTATGCTGGTATCTTGAGTTGGTTGAGCTAGAAAGAAAAGGAAGCAATCCTGTGTGATTGGGGGGTGAGTAAATTTTCAGTCTTCTTTAAAGACAGAACCCAATGGAATGCAATGCAAAGAAGATGATTTCCCCCCACTTTCCCCCTTTCTGGGATGAAGTCCCTACTACAGCATTTCTCAATCTGGGGGTTGAGACTCCGGGGAGTGTCACAAAGGGGGTGTCAGAGGGGTCGGCAAAGACCATCAGAAAACACAGTATTTTCTGTTGGTCATGGGGGTTCTGTGTGAGAAGTTTGGCTCAATTCTATCATTGGTGGGGTTAGGAATGCTCTTTGAGCAATTACAACTCCCAAATGTCAAGGTCTATTTTCCCCAAACTCCACCAGT